ACTGAACTGTATACTTAAAAATGTACCACAAATACAAACAGACAAAACCAAAACTGATCAGCACCTCTACCCTTCTTGCCTCTCAACTGCTTTGCTCAGGCCAGTGTTGGCTTCACCGAAACATTTGCAGCATCGCTAAGAGGCCAGCTCTGGAAGGAGCTCCAAATCATGAGCTTGGCCCCCATTGGCCACTGTCTCGCTGTGTGACCCCGGTTGGCATGCTGTCCCTCGCTGGACCTCAGTTCTGTGATAGTGATGGGACTAGAGGCACTCCAAGGACCTTTCCAGTTTGTTGAGTCTATATTCTAAGCCATCAAAGGAATACCCACCCCCAAACCAGGAATTCTTACTACCACACCCCTGAGAGGGTAGAATAAGGCTGCAGGACGCGAGCCCCCAGAACCTGGAGCCTGAGGATAAGTGAGGGTTCTCAGGGGTCTGGAAGGAGAAGCCAGCTGGAGTTGTCATAGAGACATAGGAAAATAATAAACACACCCCTCTGGATGCCCACTGGATCCCTGAGAGTTTATCAAACATGCCCACATCCATTACCTCTGTGACCCTTTTATTCCACAAACATCCAGGGAGTCCATCCTCTGTGCCCAGCATGGGGCTGACCCAGGGCTGTGGCGGCAAACGGGACATGAGCTCTCTGGCTTCCAGGAGAGAGGAAAGGGGCAGCAATGTGACCAGAGCTTGGATTGGGCAGGCGGGGTCAGGTCAGGAGGAGGGACGGCTTGGCCAAAGGCGCCGGAGAGAGAGAGATCTGAAATGTGCTGTCTGAAGGGGGTTGGCAAGGGAGAGATAGGGCGGGGCCTCCCAGGCCACTCTAAGAGGGCATTCTCCATCCCGAGGGTACAGGGAGTCGTCAGGGAGGTCACCGACCTGCGGAGGAGGGGCACCACCAGATTTGGGTGCACAGCATCACTCGGGGTGGAGAGTAGGTTGGAAGAGGCAGGAGAGGGGCAGGAGGCCCAGGGAAGAGGCCACAGCAGCTGTCTGGGGGAACCCCTGGTGTCCCCGACGACAGATGTCCCAGTGGATCACATACGTCCTTTCTCACGGAGGAAGCAGAGGTTCGCGCAGGTCAAGTGACTGCCCGATGCCAACAGCAAGTTAAGGGATCTGGATCTGGGTTCTTAATACTTGTTCAGTCCCCAGCCAGAGCTTTCCTTACCAGCCCGAGCTACCTTCCAGGCCCCAGATGATACTAGTGAGTTTAATTTGTAAGTGTACTTGCTGAGAGCTTAATACAAGCCAGTTCTGAGTGCCTAACGTGCGTTCATTCATTTGTCCTCCCAACAATCCTGGGAGGTGAGTACTCTTATTAATATTCATATGGGGAAACTGAGGCACAGAAAGATTAAGTAACTTACCTCAGATCACATAACTGGTAAGCAGCAGAGTCAGGACTGGGACAAGGCAGCTTCCACCACTAAGCCCCCTGAACCCTATGAGTGGGGAGTGGGGGATGGGAGCTTCCAGAACAGGGGTAAGAGGGCATGAGGGGAGTTCTGGGAAGGGAACAGAGGTGTGTGCCGGCCCTCCAGAGCACGGATGCAATCTGCCGGACACAGGGAGCCGCCTGACCAGGAGTCCTGAGACCTGAGGTTTAGGCTCAGCTCTGCCCTGAACCTGCTGTGTGACCTCAGGCTACTCACACCCTTCTCTGGGCCTTGGGTTTTGTCACCTGAAGCATGGATCAAGATCTCCAGGCTCACCCCTCTGTTTCTCTCACTCCTAGATCAACCCCTCTACCCCCACACCCACCCCCCCCAGGCACTAAAGCAAGGGAGGGACTGGAGATGGGGGTGGGCTGTGGAACGGAGAGAGGGGGCAGTGGAGGGACTCCCTTCTCTAAAAGCCTAGCGGGAGCAGGAAATCCCACCGTCCCCCTTCCAGGCCTGAGCTCGGGTTTGGAGGCAGTGAGCCGCACCCACCCCGCTTCCCAGGGCCTGCAGGGACCAGGCTCCCACCACACTCTCCGGAGACCGGGCCTTGTTTAGAAAGTGTCTCCTTTGGAGCCTGAGTCACCGGATCCCTGGGTGGTCTGGGGGAAACCGCAGAGTTACTGCGAGTACCTAACCGTGACTGGGAGGGGAGAGGGAGGGGGGCCTGCCCCTCTGTGACCTCGGCCCCTCAGCCTCTTGTGTCTGGGACTCGGTTTTCCCACCCGTAAACTGAGGGGCTGGGAGTCTCAGACCCGCCACCTCTCCGTGACACTCATGGCCACCCAAGGACTGAAGGGGGTTGGCCAGGTAGAGGCGGGGCAGGGCCACCCAGGCCACTCTAAGAGGGCATTCTCCATCCCGAGGGTACAGGGAGTCATCAGGGAGGTCACCGACCTGTGGAGGAGGGGCACCACCAGATTTGGGTGCACTGCATCACTCGGGGTGGAGAGTAGGTTGGAAGAGGCAGGAGAGGGGCAGGAGGCCCAGGGAAGAGGCTGCAGGATGGGGCAGGCCTGGGAGCAAAAGAGCTGTGAGGTCGACGGCCCGGGGCCCCGGAACCCAGCGCTCCATGCTGGCCACTCTGCCTGAGGGACAGGCCTGCTCCCGCACAGCCCGTGACAAGCAGCACCCAGGAGGAGCCCGAGCTGGCCTCTGACACAGAGGGCTTATTCCTTCCCAGGGAGCACGGGCGAATGACTGCATTCGTGTGAGCATCGGTTTCTCCATCTGTGTGGGGACATGATGGAGACCACGCTCGCCAAGGCGCCGCTGGAGACCAGGGATACGAACAGTTCTTAGCGTGTGGAAAGGGCTCACCAGCAGGGCCTGTTACCAGTCATTGCCTTGACGAGAAACCCAGTGACTCCTCGCCCACCCTCACGTGGAACAGCTCAGCTTGGCTCAGGGCTCGAGAGGAGGACCAAGGCCTGGACCGACGGGACAGCAGAGCAGGGGTTGGGCCCCCGGAGGCTCAGGCCTGAGGGTGGCGGTGGGGAGTGAAAGGGCCTGGCAGGGGAACCAGGAGAAAGTTTTCCTTGAAGGACAGCATGGCCCGTGGGGCTTCATTCTAGAATCATTGTCAGCTGGCTGAGTGGGCACCCTGAGAATCTGGAATAGGGCAAAAGGACGTCACTATCTGGTCTGCACAGAGCAGACCCTGTGGTGGGAAGTAGGCAATCTGGGTCATATCCAAACATCCACGATTATGGGATTGAGGTAAGCACTTCCCTGCTCTGGGCCTCAGTTTCCTCATCTATGAAATGGGTGGGAGTGTCAATCCCTGTCCCTCTTGCTCCCTGATAAAGGGGGATTGTGATCATTACTTCCACATCTAGGCATCATGGGGTAACCAGCTGCTTCCTCGGAGAGCAAAGAGTCCCTCTCTAGAGACTGGTGTTGGTGAGCCCTATGCGCTGGAGGGCCCCGGTGCGTGCAGGTAGGTCTCAGCTCACTCATTCCTGCCTGCAGTCTAGCCTTCCTGCTGGGAAGCCCCTACAAAGTGCTTTCTAAAGGCCTGCACAGGGACACCTGGGTGGCTCAGTCGGTTAAGCGCCTGCCTTCCGCTCAGGTCATGATCCCGGGGTCCTGGAATCGAGTCCCGCGTCAGGCTCCCTGCTCAGCAGGGAACATGCTTCTCCCTCTGCCTGCCAGTCTCCCCGCTTGTGCTCTCTTTTTCTGACAAATAAATCAAATCTTAAAAAAAAAAAAACAAGGCCCGCACAGACCCTGGCCCACTCAGAAGCCAGTGTCCCACCCCCCACCACCTGTCACCCCAGCTCTGAGTCCTAATATCTGAGGGCCCGCCTCCCTTTCCAGTCCCAGTCCTGTATTCCCAACAGCTGATATACACTGATGATGGACCAGGAATTGTGTGATGTCCTTATTTCTCCCAATTTGAACCCACTTCTCAGGCAGGAGCAGTGTTAGCCCCGTCTTACCCACCTTATGGTAATACCGAGGCCCGATGAGAAGTCTCCAGAGTCACTCTAGGGGCAGACACCAGATTTGAACTCAGGCAACCTGGCTCCAGAGCATGAGTGTCTGAAGACTACCTTCTCCTGCCTCCTAGGTGTTGCATGCAACGGATGCCTCCTGGTCTCTTCCAGGCCCACGGCGTCACCCCTTTGCTCCTGTCCCCTCCGCCACCCTTAGCCTGTCACTTGCTCGTGAGGACCAGAGCCGTAACACCCCCACAGAACCGGCTCCTTGTTCCGTCTTGCACTCCGCTAACTGCCTGAGCCCGAAGTGCCCCCCACACTGACCCCACACCAAGAATACCCCAGTAAGGCAGGCACCCCCGATGGGCATCTTCAGGACAGGGCCTCAGTGTGGGGCGCCCTGCTGTGTCCGGGGGTTGGCACTGTCAGAAGCACCGGTATGCCTCGGTAAGGGGACAGGATTAGCAGGGGTGGGGACAAGGGTCCATCGGTAAATAACTTTGGGAAGCAAAGTAAAACGGTGCACTTCTCAGAGGATGTGGTGGCCACGATCCCCGCCTCCTGTCATTCACATTCTCCTGTAGCCCCTCCCTCATCATCAGCAAGAACCGTTCAGTGATCAATAGAACATGGCAAAGAGATGCATGTCACTTTCGAGCTAAGGTGATAAAGGATGGCAGCTTCACTCCTGGTCTCTCTCATTCGGATCCTTTGCTCTGGGCGAAGCCATGTCATGAGTAGCCCGGTGGAGAGGCCTGTGTGGTGAGGGACTGAGGCCTCCAGCCAACAGCCACGTGAGTGAGCTTGGACGCGGGTCGTCCGGCTCCTGACAAGCCTCAGATGACTGCAGCCCTGGCCGACAGCTTGACTACAACCTCACGAGACCCTGAACCAGAACCACCCAGCTGAGCTGCTCCTGCATTCTTGAACACAAGAAACTGGGAGAGATAAGAAATGTTAGTTTCAAGCTGCTACGTTTTAGGATAATTTATTACGCAGCGATAGATAATACACATGACTTCTCCGAGCACTTAATATGCTAATATAAATCTCCAAGAAAGAAGATATACAATGTAACATTCCCCTTAGTTATCTGGCCAAGGAAGCCTTCTTTTTTTTTTGAGTTTTCTCAACAGAGAAAACTGATTTAATATGGCTCTGGTCCTACAATTAAATGTGACTTCTAACCCTGATCTGTTATGAGCTAGTCATTTGCTCTTCCAGAATCTCAACTTTTCCCTTTTATAGAGTAGAAAGAAACGACCTGCCTTTGCATAAATCATAAATACAACCCCAGATGGCCTAGTTCTGAGCTCTTTGGTGAGGGGTGCGAGAGTGGGTTGACTAGGTCTTAAAAGGAGCTTCACCCTGGGGCTTAGGTGGGTTTTCAAAGGTGGCAGGTGGGCCCGAGGCCCAATGTATCTTTCTTCCTCAGGCCATTTCCCCAGAGTGATGAGAATTAGTGTCTTCTTGCAGCTTGTGCACAGTTCAGAGATGGGAGGCATGGACCTGAGCCTCCCCGATCAGACCTGGAAAGCTCCCTGCCCCCACCCCGACACACACCCCCAACCTGTGGACACAGTGCAGCCATGGGCAGGAGGGAACATGAGAACCTTCTCTGGCCTCAACAGTAAGCATATGCCCTTCCTCCGTTCTCAATTTATCCCCTCTACTCTTTCCCTGGTAAAAGACTGAAATCAAGTTTCAGGATGCTGGCTGGGTCAGAGACCCACGGAAGCCCTGCATGTCCCTCTTTGTTAAAAAGAAGACATTAAAAAAAAAAAAAAAAAACCATAATGCGAATACTTTATTATCAATGAGTGACTGGTATTAGCTTTTTGTCTGGGCATTAATATTTCCAAAACCATACACCAAACCCAGGCTTTTCCACCTAGCTCTGCTGTATCATTTTCTTTAAAAAACAAAAAAACAAGACAAAACAAAAACAAATAATAATAATAAAGAAGAGGAGGAAGGAGGAAAAGAAAGAAAATATATTTGTATTGAAAGAATTATAAGCCAAAGTGCGTCTTTCTTGTTTTGTCCATATACACACATTGCACCATACATAAATAATTACATTGTAAAAATGACTCCATAATTACAAGTATAATATATATTTCCATATAATATATAAAACTTTATATTAAATCTAGGTAGATGATATTTGGGGGGGTGTCGTCCGTGGGGGGCTGTGTCTCTGGGCGCTGGGGCAGGTCGCGGCGGGCCGCTATCTGTGGGTGTTGAGGAGGACCTCGAGCCAGCAGGGGCAGGAGGTGATGAACTGCCGTGAGTAGCAGGGCCCCCAGCCCTTGGCGAAGCTGATGCGGACGCTGTTGGGGTCGTAGGGGCCGTCGGCGGCGTCGGGCTCGGGCCCGTGCTGGAGCAGGCCCGAGCGCTCGAAGTCGAACACCTTGATGGAGTAGCCGGGCGGCACCTTGCGCACGACGAGGGCGCGGCCGCCGGGCGCGTCCAGCGTGGGCGAGTTGACGAAGATGGGGTGCTCGCCGCGGTTGTAGGCCCACACGCCGTCGGGCTCCTTGCTGAGCACGATGCCAAAGCCGATCTTGCTGCGCGTGCGCCGCACCGACTCGCTGCGCTGCTCCAGGTTGAGCTGGCCCAGGCAGAAGCCGCTGCCCTGAGGTAGGTCGTAGAAGATGCTCACGGCCTGGTCGTACACCGCGTAGAGGCGGCCCACACGTGTCCGGTGCTCCCAGTAGGCCACGCTGCACCAGTGGCTCGGCTTGGTGGCATCCGGAGACATGCTGGCGTCTGCGGGGCAAGCACAGGGCACGGGGGGCGGTTAATCGGGGGGGCAGGTGGGGGGCAGAGGGGAGCAGAGGTGGCGCCGCTTGCTGGAGGGGGCGGGTCAGTGGGGTTTCCGGCGTTCAGCAGACCTGCGGGCACCGACGCCTGCCGGGTTGTCCTCAAGAACTGTAGCTCGCAGGAGAACAGCCCCCGACGCACACGCAAAGGGGAGCCCCGCGGTCAGGAGCCCACAGAGAAGGCAAGTCGCCCACTGTGTGCTCCGGGCTCTGGGTACACAGACATGAACCGCACCCGGCTCCTGCCCGTAGAATTTTCCAAGCTTAAGCTAGCAGGAGAGAGGGACAACCCCCCGCAACACACACACACACCCAAAGGAGGGGCTGAACACCGAGCACCTACAATGTTCCAGGTGCTGCACACTGCCCTTCTGACTCACTGGGTCCTCCCCTCACTCCCTGACGAGGCCACCTTCTCCTCATTTTACAGCTGAGGATCCAAGACTTGGCAGACACCAGCAGCCTGCCAAAGGCCACACAGCTAGTGCATGGCCCGGCCTGGGTCTGAGCCCTGCCAGTCCAAGCCTCCACCTGAACAGAGTGGGGTTAAGCTATTAGGGGGCGTAAATCACCACTCGAAGGGGACCCGGGCACAGGAAGACACGGTGGGGTGGGGGAGTTGGCCCCCAGAATCCCTTCCAGCCCAGAATGTTCCCAGCCTTGGCCTTGAGCATGATGCCTAGTTTCCCAGTAACCCCCACCCTCCACCCCTCAAGGTGGCTCTCTTGGCATTAAGTGCAGATTTTCACCCGAACTGCAGGCCCTTCCGTGAGACAGGGAAGCTGAGGGTCTCTGAATGTTAAAGCAAATTGCCCCGCAAGGGCTCCAGGGATCGCCAGCTCTCAAAGGTGTGTGCTGCTCCTCTCTGAGCCTCAGTTTCCCCATGGACAGCAAAGGGGTGGCCTGGATGACTGGAATTCCCTTCCCCTCCAGCTTGAGGCATGTCTGCATGTCCACAGGTCTGGATGAACAATTTTCTGACACCAGACCGAAGGCCACACAGAGGCCTGGGCAGCCCCATCTTTGCCGCTCCCGTGTGTGGCCAGCTTCTCAGATTCTGAAACCTGGTCTTTCAGAATCTGGTCTTTCCTTTGAGCTCAGAGTTCTGGGAAGCAGGTGGGCATCCGTGACTGCCCCGTGGGGGGACATGTTCCCACACAGCCCTTAGATGGGGCTCATGCACAGAGGGAGCGGTTCTCCCGAGAATGGGATGGGAGCACAGTGAGGCACTTCACGGTGTGGCTTCTCCTAGGGAAACTGATCAAAGTCCAACCAAACCCGAGGAAGAAAACACTGCTAACAACTTCATTCAGGAGCCTGGGTGAGGTCAGCTGTCTGCCTTCAGCCCAGCCCCGCCTAGAAGCCCCAGAGCGGCAGGGTGACAGGGCCCCTCCGATCCTCCCATGCGCTGGCAGGCCCACCCAGCCACCTAGCAGGAAAGTGTCTTCCTGAAGGGCGTCCCATAGGCTGCCAACTCCGCTGAGGCCTTGGACTGGGCAGAGCCCCAAAGGGCGTGCCCCTCACCCTCTGCCTGGTGTTGAGGTCCCAGACACAGGTCCCCAGGTCACTCCTGATAATGTATTAATTTGCCTCCAAGTCCCCTCCAGGCCCCTCCTGGTTCTGGCCAGTGTGCGGGGAGGGGGGGGGGTGTGGAGAGAAAAGACACAGGTCCTTGCCCTCAGCTGACTCGCCCCTTGGCCAGCAGGTAGAGAAACAGCTCTAGCTTGGGTGGGCGACCAAGCTGCAGGCAACTAGGCGGGTCCCAGCAGGTGGACAGCCAAGAACACCGCAAGCTATGGCCCCTCTCTCCATCCATCCATCCACCCATCCGGTACAGGTCTGGGAGTTTCCAAGAGGTAGGAAAGCAGCACGATCCCGGCCCGGCCGTGAAACTCCAGCGCCGGTCTTCTCATGAGCAGTGAGAGTCCCTTTAGTGTACCAGAAACAGAGAGGGAGGGAAGCAAACACCTGTGCCTGCAGAATGCTGGGTGACAGGAGAGGACACGCGTCACTGAGAGCCTTGCATCAGCCAGGCACCTTCTTCCCAACAGCCTTGGTTCACCTCTATTACCAGCCCATTCCACAGGTGAGGAAACTGAGGCCCAGGGAGGTGCCATGAGCTGGTCGAGGGTACACATGAGAGATTGCCAGGGCCAGCCTCAGTGCCAGGCCACACTCCGGGGGGGGCCGTCTCCACACTCCGGGTAGACTCCCCGCTGAAGCCCCTGCACTGAACAAGTCCCCTCCCTTCTCTAAGCCTCAGGGTTCCTGTGTGTGACCAGACTGCTCTCACGGTCTGAATCCTAGAGGTGCTCACCCACAAGCCGGTGAGTCACTCCGCCCCCCCCCACCCCGTGAAAGGCCTTCGCTCCCCGAGGGCGCACCGCAGCTTCACTGAGTGAGGCTTACTGCTATCCCCCCTCTACAGATAAGGCTCAGAGGGCCACTCAGTCATAAAGTGGCAGCTCTGCCCCAGGGTGGAGCCACTCCATCATAAAAGGTGAAGCAGCACTTTGGCAGTCAGAAAGGGGGGGTGGGGAGGAGGGGGAGGAGGGAGGTTGAGAGTAATGGAATTGAGGGCGGGTGGGGGGGATACTTCCTGTCCCCCTCCTCTTAGCTCCTTCCACCCCGGCCAAGCCAAATGCCCCTCATCATCTACCCCCACCTCATCAATACCCATGTTCCAGCCTTGCTCTAGCACTCCTCATGGGGATCGGCTCCTGTGCTTGGGAAATGAACCCCACAGAGCTGCCTGGGCCCGGCCTCACCTCCTGCGCCCTCTCTGGTTAAGCAAACTGGGTAACACTTCATCACACCTGGGCTCCTGGCCAAGTCTTTCAAATTCCAGAAGATGGACGCTGCCTCTGAGAAGCCCTCTCTGGTTTCTCCCTCCCACGCACCTGCGGCCTTCAATGCAGTCACTCCCTAGGCCTGAGCAGGTGTCAGTGCTGTTGGTCAGTGCCCCTGGCCGGTCTAAACTTTCCAGTAGGAAGGGGTGGGCCTCCATCCTCTCTACCTCTGTCCCAAGACTGCAGGTATCCCTAGGGTGCTCGAAGAACATGCTAAAAGGGAAGGAGGAAGGAACTAAAATTCATCCTAAGGGTCAGCCCACTGCCCTGACCCCCAGCTCCCATTGGATCCTGCCCAACAGGTGGGGCTGGTGGTCTCAGGCTCCAAGGGATGCTGGGCAAGGACTGAGGTCTGAGGTCTCCCGAGAGCAAGCCAGCAAGTGAGCACATCACTATGCTCGGGGCTCCCTGTCCCCACCCAGCTCTTGGGTTCTTAGGGCTCCAGAGCTTGAGGGACCCACTGACATCATCTTGTCCAGGGAGCCCCAACACTTTGGGTTTTCACAAACCAATACATTGTTTAACAGAGGGACTGTGAATGTACAGGGTTACTACTGTTTTATTTTGTCATGTACAGACTTCTTAAAAACCCCAAGACCATCGACTACCACTAGCACAAAAGAAAGTATAATTTGATACTAATGAAATAGTTAGGACCTAAATCAGAAATGTAAAAGTTAACACAATTAGATTATAAGAAATTTTCTTATCTCTTTCATTGTGGACCAGTGAAAACGTAGAACAGAGACTGGCCTGTGAGAACCACTAATTGAATCCAATGTCCTTGTGCCCCAAGGACGGCACCCCAGGGGTCCAGGGGGACTCACCGAAGCACACACAGCAACAGATAGCAGAACTGGGACCAGAACTTGGGACCCTAGAACTCTAATCCAATGCTTGACATGAGCCAAAGGGTTTCAGAGTAAGACGGACCTAAGGCTCTCACCACTGACTGGATGTGTGGCCATGGACCAGCCCCTGAGTGTCCCTAAGTCTCAGTCTCCCCACTTGTAAAATGGACTTATTCATAATCCAGCGTCTCATTTATATAGTCCATCTTTGGATTTTCTGGAAACTCCAGCAGCAGATCAGTTGGGTGCAGAAAGAAGTAGCTGTCTGTTTACCGGCCCCAGAGCTGGCCCCAACCCTTCAAAGGCCAGGCAGGGCTCCTTAGGGGTGTCGGGGGTCATGACCCAGGGTCACCACCACGGGAGGGTACAACAGGATAGTGGATGGCAGCATCCCTCACTGTACTGATGGGAAGGTTTAGCTTCTAGCCTGGAACCCGAGGTTAAAGAGAGGTGCTCACCAGCATAGGAATGAGGAATGGAGCAAGAATAGCTGAATGTCTAGAACAAAGTCAAGGGCCACTGTGGCTCGGTTTACACACACACACACACACACACCCGCCCCCGTGTGGATTCGGGTCTCAGGCAGTGTGGCTGATACAAGCTGACCTGCTTGCTCCCTGCAAATGAGAAGGCCGGCCCCCCAAACCTCTGCCCTCCCCATGGTGGCAGAGCCCCACTCCACCACTATGCTCCTCGTCCTCAGCCTGGCTGCCGCTCAGGGTGCGAGGGGACAGTCTTTTGCAGAAGATCTTTTTCTCCTCGTGGCTCCAAGGCTGTGGTCCCGCCATCAACCTAATTAGGAACCAGCTCCTTAATTGCAAATAAATACCAGGGAGTCAGACCCGAGTGCACAACATCAAAGATGACCGCGCTCTGACCGAAACTCTTGCTCACTACCCCCTGCTCGGGGCCTGGCCTAGTTCCCAGCCAGACTCTGGGTCCTGGCTCGGAGGGCTCTGGGGTGGGGGGGGGGTGGTAGGAGAGGAGAGGTGCGGTCTGGCGCTGTGTCTGGGGCAGAGTGGCCCCAGGCTGGGGGGGCGGGGGGTCTGGAGTCCTGCAGTCAGGGGTCCTGCCTCTGGGCCTGCACTGGGCAGTTCATCTTCCTTCTCCGGGCCTCAGGCTTCCCATGTGAATCATGAGCTCGAGATCTCTGTGATTTAGTGAATATTCACAACAGCTCCACCTGCAGTCACCAAACCAGGCAGATGGCTCAGGTGTCCATCAACGGGAGGATGGGTATTAGGGCC